TCACAAAAATTGAGCCTGCTTCAAAAGGAGCAACTGGGACAGTACATAAAGAAATAGAATTTTAATGTTTTACTTATCCTATTTAATTTCATAAAAGCATTATCCTTTCTTTCTATATACAAATTAGACTGAAAAAAGTTCGACTTCCAACAGTTGTTCTCTATGTCACATTCTGCATACACAGTTTGGGAAAAATACGTACACAGTAATTCTCGCAGAAAATATAATAACATTACAGATCAGGTAAACAGATTTTTTAAAAATCTGTGGTTTTCAGTTTTGAAAACAGAAGGGACCTGAATGATAACAGATCAATAACAGGAGCTGTAGGCTTTCATTCAGAGCTGACTTGTTTGCATCCAACATAAATGGGCAGTCACCATTTACCATCTAACAGATGTTCAGCAGCTTATGCATGATGATATGGTAGCCCCTCGTGTAGAAGTGGCCAGATGACAGTCACAGTTAATTGCCATTCCTGCTGGCAGTCTCAAATAAGGAAACAATAAGACCTAGAGACCATAGTAGCCCATGCCTTTTAGACAGCAGGCAACTCCAGAACAGGACAATGAAAAGGCATTTCTCAAATGAGCCATGTCTACCCAATATGTAGCAGGATCTCAATTTAAGGTAAGGTTAACATAGTATTTTTTTGTGGTTTAGCCCCATCCAGGAACCAAACCCCAGGCAGCTGCTCACTCTCTCCCCATGAGCAAGACTGGGGAACGAATCAGAAAGGTAAAAGCCAGAAAACTCCTGGGTTGAGAGAAAGATAGTTTAATAGGGAGAGCAAAAGTCATGCACACAAGCAAAGCAAAACAAGAAATTACTTCACCCCTTCCCCTGGGCAGGCAGGTGTTCCACCGTCTCCATCATGTACAACAATGGAAGACAAACACCATCACTGCAAACTTCCCCTTCTTCTTCCCCCCATTTCACACACTGAGCATGATGCCACATGGTCTGGAATATCCCTTTGGTCAGTAGGAGTCACCTGCTCTGACTGTGCCTCCTCCTAACCTGCAATGTACTTGCAGTTTCCTCACCAGTGTGGAATAAGGAAAGCAGAAAAGGCCTTGGTTCTGTGTAAGCCCTGCTCAGCAATAGCAAAAACATCTCTGTGTTATGGGAATTATTTTGCATTTTGGACATTTAGATTCCTTCTTCCTAGTACTATAATTATTTAGTAAGCATAAATTCTGGGTTTCATACTGCTCTCTTCCATACACTGTACTCAAAGCAAGGAGGTCAATTTTCCAAGTACCATTCAGTTTTGGTAACTCCTTTTAAAAAAACCCATTTACTTACCCTCAGAAGTATTAACTTAACAGATCAGCACAGGGCTCTAAAGTTCAACTCCTTAGGCTTAGAAAACAATATAAAAAGGAAAAGTAAAAGCTTGTAACTGCCACAAATTTGCTAAAAGCTAATTCCTATATTGCTTTTAAAAGTTACCATTTACATATTAAAAGCCTTTCAGTATTTATAGCAAAGTCAACTGAATAAATGCACTAAAAGCAGTTCTGGATCAAAACTATGTTATTTAGATTCCTGATGTAGCAGGCAGCTGTGATACCACATAGAATTTCCTTAATTTGACAAAACTTTCAAGCATGGTAAAATACTCCAGTTATAAAGAAGAAAAAAAACCAAACAAACTAAAAAGCCCAACAAATCTATTCATTTTACCTTTTCAACAGCAAAAAACACAATGTGAGGTATTCACTGTAGGTATTTCTCTCTGGTTTACTATTGCTTATTAAGCAAGTATGCAAGATACACGTACGGAATCATAAAATGTCACAACTCTTAATTCTGAATTGCCATGAAGGTGGCCACCCTCTACCAGGAGAGCCTTCTGAGGCCGTCTTTGCATTTAATGATGCTTCTGCTTAGCAAAACAACTCCTTGTTGGTCACACCAAGGACCATACACAGTCTATTTCTACTACTTTGTTTTTGCCTTCCCCTGTTGAGAGCCTATCAAATCAGACCATTTTCCTCCAGATGGAGAATATTACATTATATTTATCACTATAGCAACTAACCTAATTGATTTGATGCAGGTTTCTCTTCCACCATAGGATGGAGCCATTATCCCTAAGTATAATCTAAACATTTAAGAAAGAAAAAATTATCAGTTTATCATTTTACCACATCAATAGGAATATAATTGGGCTTCAGAAACTAAAGCATAAATGAAAGTCTAATGGGTTGTACATGTACATCCAGAACATTCTTTATAAATAAGCTTATCTGTCAAGTAGAACTTACAGTATGGTGTTTACTGGTTGCTCCCAGTAATAGGAATGACTATTGTACAACAAATACACTTCCAGAAACAAAGATTCACAAAGTAACTAGGAGAAGGAATGTTCAAATAACTGATTCAGAAATAATTACATTAAACATTAAAAATAAAAATAGGCAAGATCCATCAAAATTGTATTTACAGTGCTATTAAGAAAGGAAAAATGGAAAAGTTATTTTCCAGATTTTGTTTTAGAAGCTGCAGGGTTTGTTTTCACTAGAATGATACAATGATATAACAAAATATTAAGTTCCTGTAATTAGTTTGATAATATGTTCACCTTTATTGTTATACTTCTGCACTCCTGACAATAAGGTGTGGGGGAAAATAGAGACCACCTTACATAGTCAAATTTCTTTTCTTTTACTTCCTAAGAAATATGGCAATCCTGTTATTTTTAAAACATTTTTAAAAGTCATCATGTACTCCCCAAAACCCAAATTTGCTTTTCTTCAAAAACAAGCATCAGATGTAAAAAGACTGATTAAACACTAGCTGATTTTTAAGAGAATTCATAAAATCTGAAGTGCTGCTTTACCTAGAAATAGCTTCACGTTTTTTAATCTTGATTTTTCAGAGAGCAAAAACCATTTTTTTCAATGTCTCAAATACTACCACTAGAGAAAATGCTCATGATGCTTCATTAACATTTGGAATTGCAATTGTCAAATCAGTGAAGCATTACATAAATGGTGGAGTGTTTCGACACTGCATATTTTAAGCAGCATGGTGCTTTTCAGTGCTATATGAAATGAAGAGTGTACTACATATTTGAGGAACACCATCTACACTGTCTGAAAGAAATAATTAGAAACTGATCTTTAAGCACACTAGAAAATGCCTTGAGATTATTGACCAACATTTGCATTTTTCATCAGTAAACAATGAACAATATGTAACAATTCAAATGGATGACTACATTCCTTAGGATAAAACATCCAACTTCTCGTTGCTGAAAATAAATAATTTCTCAAGTGTCAAAGTTCATGGTTAACTCTTTTTGAGGCCATGCTGATTGAAAATGTATGCACAGAAGATCTCATATCTTCTCATAAGAAGCCTGTGATGCTTTGGACACTTCTAACACAAACTTAACAAAATATTTCCTATCACTAATACCAAACTGAATTCCCTTTGCCATTGAACTATTCATTCTGTAATATGCACTCCCATGATACAATAAAAATTATTTTAAAACTCACTATGTTGTTTAGTATATCCTCTACATTATCACATTGAATACAGTATTATGTACAAAATTATATTATTAAAAGTGTGGCCTGTTTAATATAATTTTATTAATGAGAAGTGTAATGCAAAATGTGCTAAATAACAAAAAAACCCCCCAAACTATTACAATATATGTTATTCCTTTTGGCATAATTAACTTTCAGTGTCATCAGTGTAAAGAAGCCCTGGAATACACAAAACAGAAGTGAATTAAAGGTTCTCCTAACCAATTACAATGTTGTTTTGAAAAAACCCCAGAACATATACATGGCAAAATGGTCAGTGTAATACAGCTGGAGGAAATGGAATGCAGGGTTAAGAAATGCAGCAGGTCTGCTCCTGCAAACCAGCATCTATTTCCTATTCATCAGAGCCTACACCTATTACAGCTCAACCAGACAAGACTAGTGCAAAATCTTTTATGCTACAGCTAATGAAAGCAATATGCACCATGGGTAAATTACAGACCCCATTCAGGTCAGGGTGGGAAAATACAGCATAGATTCATTTTGGCAAAGCTGTGTGGGTCCTTCCTGATAAATTGTGGGGTATTTTTTTTTTTATTATTGAGTAAAAATTGCTTTTTCTAGTCTCTTTGCAAGTTTCCTACTCTAGTGCTATGGACTAACTTGCATTCCCTAACTTGAACTGTGGGCATTAACTCCATTGACGTTATATAACTGCTTGAAAATTATTCTTGCTGAAAGGAAAACAAACAAAAATTACCAAAAACAAATAAAAAAGCAAGAAAAAATAAAGAACTTTTAAAGTATTTATAGTCCAAGTACTTGATTCTTACAGATACCTTATCTGCAACACTGTAATTAATGGAAAATCTATCAAGCCTGAAAAAAGAATATAAAAAAACTTTACTGATAACCTGAGATGCAGCTCTAAAACTGGCAACATGGACTTACTAAACTGCTGAGGATATGCTAAGAAAGTGCCAACACTTGCTCCTGTGGAATTTCAGAGCATCACATATGATCCCAGGATGTTAAGACATCTGCCACTTGATGAAGTATGTGCATCCTAAAAAAATGAACATAAGCAAACTAGCTCCCCTTCATGGAAGGTGGACAGAGTCAGGAGAGTGTGTACGTGGAGGGAGCAACCTCAGAGGAATCTGGTAACATCTGACAATAAACAGTGAACAGTGGATCAGGGCTACTACCGCTAGAAAGTTTGTTTCCAAAATCCAAGAGATGATGCTGTTTGGACTGGAAATGCCACATTTACAACCTAAGGACATCTCACTCTCCTGAGAAGCAGCAGTATTAAAGTGCCGGTCTGCCTGCTTTGCCACAGGGGAGCGGGGGGAGATGTGCTGAGGGGCAAGTCTAAGGCACAGTACCTGTGCCTGCCAGCTTCAGAGCTTGGCCCTCGCCTGAAGTGTTACCTCACGTGGGAAGGGTGTAGATTTATGCCCAGCAAAAGCACCAGGACAAATATGTACTTACTGCAGTAAGCGATTAGGAGACTAGCCAGGATCATGATAGCCCAGAAAGTTGAGGACATGCTTGGCAAGGCGCTGGCATCTTTCCTGCTGCTTCTCCTGGGAGATGGAGCCATTGAAGCCACTTCCCCAGCGGGGGGAAAGTCAGACAGTTTCACCAGCCAGCTCTCCCCTCGACTGATGGCCTTGTTCCACGTGTAATCCTCAAGGAAGGCATTTTCCAACGACTCTGCTGTTCATCATCAGCAACATGGTCCTGTCGCAGGAATCATCTTCCAGCCAGAAAGCCAAGGCGACTCTAACGCAGGCGGGGCTTGGGAACAGCGGCCAGAGCCAGCTTCCCTCCTGTCACTGTGGTGGGATGCACTAGCATGGAGGGTTTCACTGCGGCTGGGATGCCTCGCGTGGTACTGAGCTTCGAAGATTTCCCACGAACAAGCCTCTCTTTTTTTTATTTTTTTCTTTTCTGTTTTTAATTTGCAGAAGTTGTTCCGCTTGTTGTCCTTCCCCCTGCCTCCCCGTCCCCGGGGGCAGCCCCCGCAGGCGGAGCGCGGGCCCCGGCGGGGCTAACGCGGCGCCTCCCCCGCCCACCCGCGGCTCTACGGCGACCCCCGCTCAGGGCGCGGCCGCCCCTCAGCCCAGGCCAGCATGGCCGCGGGGGCCACCGAGGGGCGAGGGCAGCCCGGCGCCACCGCCGCCCGCCCGCCCGCCGGGCAGGGCTCCGCGGGCAGCTCCGCGCAGAGAGGGCGATCCGCACCCCGGCCCAGCGCCCGCAGGGCGAGGACAGCCCCGTCCCCCCACGGCCTGTCCAGCCTGAGCTGCCCTCCCGACCGGTCCTGCGGCTCGACGGCGCGGAGGTGCGGGTTGGGCCGGGACACTTGAGGCGGAGGGTTGGCGGCGGGTCTCCTCCTCTCCGAGCGCCGCCCGCTCCGCTCTCAGGCTCTGCCGCTACAGCAGCGCTGGCCCTTCAAGTAAAGGGAAGCGGGAGGAGGAGGAGGGGGCCGGCGGTCACGCCCACAGGTGCTCAGCGCTCCGAGCAGAGCGGTCCTTCCCATCTCCGCTCCGCTCGCCTCCCCGCCGGAGGTGCGCGCCCGCCCCGGGGCTCGCATCGCCCCCCGGCCCCGCGCCGCTCCCCGCTCCCGTTCCCGGGGCGGCGCCCGCCGGGTTTAGGGAGGGAGGAGCCGCGGGGCGACAGTCCCTGTCCCTGTCCCTCTCCCCGCGGAGGCTGCTGCCAGCCCTGCGGGGCCGGCGGTTGGAGCGGGCTGTGCGGTGGGCAGGGGCCGAGGGGCGAGCCCTGTGCCTCGGTGGGGTAGAGCCGGCTCCGGCCCCCAGCGTCTGCCCACGGCGGGGGAGGCGGCGCGGAGGAGCCACTGGGCCGGGAGCGGAGCAGAGGGGAAGGGAGCGGAGGCGGTGCCCGCCCCGAGCCTCCTCTGGGGATCTTTGCTTTCGGCTGACACCGGGTCTCGACAGAAGAAGTGGCCCAGGGAATTGTCTCTCCCAGTCCCCTCACCTGCACGGTGCGGCTCGAAATCTCCACGATGTATTGCGCCTCGACACGACCACAGATGCTAAAGGAAACAATTCCTCATTGTATATCCATCTGCGGTCCTTATGGACACTGCTGTTGGCACGCGGTTTCTGTCGCTGAAATGGCAGCGACGCATCGGTATGAAACCCACTTTAGAGGGCTTGGGTTCGCATGTGTGCCAGTATCCCTTATGATTAAAAGCTTAAATATTTAAAGAGGGACCAGGTAGTTCAGCTTTTCTGTTCGGAGTCTCCATAGCAATGTCTTCAAATTAATATTTTAAGTTCTGCAGAAGGTAGTCGCGTTCCAAGTACAGGCAGGATTGTCAGACTAGAAGAGGAGCTTAGTCACAAAATGTCCCATTATCTCCTCCTGTGTTTTACTTGCATAATAGAAATGCCATGAAAAAGCTGATTCCTATTCCTTCACAAGCCCCAGGTTTGTCTGATTGTTTGCCATTTAAACATATGAACTTAAAATTGCATATGAATGATGCAATCAATATTCACAAGACAGGACTGAAAAGACCTTTTTTAGTACAGCTGCACTTGATTAGATACTAGTAACTAAGTTCAGTTTTGCACCATGAGGACATTGCCAATGTTATTGCTTTGATTTTAGAGAAGATTTTTCTACCAGAATAGTTTCATCCTGAACTGGTAGGACAATAGAATAATGTGTTCAAGCATGCTTTAGAGATTAAATTTTAACTATTGTTTGGGTACAACTACATTTGGGTACCAGAGCATTTCCTTCCAAGATGTGACATTCTTTTCCTGTATTTTCATGGGAATTTCTTTTCTAGTATATTTGAAAACTAGATTAGAGCACAACGCAAACATTAAGACAATATGCTAAGCTATATTCTCCTTCCCCCGTATCATTTGAAAGAGCATTTATACATAGAGTCAAAATCTTTGTATCACCTTCCATCCCAAACTTAGGCACCATATTTTCCTTCTAAGTCAACTTTAATTCATCATCCCTCTTGGAATCCTGAAGTATTACTTCAATTTGATGTTGTAAAGTTGTACAGCTTCGTGAGTTTTTTTAAAAACTAGGACTTTCAAAATTCCTCTTCTCAGACTAAATGTAAATAAATGATAAGCAACAAAAATGCCTCTGCATGTTGTGCTGCTGTTTGTTGCATTTCCAGGACTAACATGTAAATGAAGCATTTTTCTGTATTTATGAAAACATTTTATTTCCATTATAGCTGTAAGTAATGAATGCCTACTTAAATAGTATATTTTAAAAATTAGTATAATGCAAAAGCAAAAGGATCTCGAAATGAGATATGTAGTATGATGTAAAGATCAAGAGACTCTAAAGCCATAAGGGACAGCTGTAGATGTATACAGGCAACTATACCTTTCAGCAGAGTCCACAGAATTTTATATAGTAAAACTTAGAGTTTACCTTGTGGTTAGACAAGAGGATTTCCCTTGGAAATGCATCCAGCTTTCAGTCTGAGGAGTGGGGATCCTGATGACTGCTCACCTAAATAGAGCTCAAAGGTTCATGCAGAAGCTTAAGTCTTGCTTTGATAATTCTGAAAACAGACATGCTTCACTTGAGACCAGGTTAATTCCCACACTGGAGAACTACTCAGTTACTCAGAAAGTAAGGCACCATTTACTGAATATGGAACCACCGAGCTGGGGCCGTTGTCTTTCTATACATCTACCTGTAATAATTTTACAAAGAAATTTTAAATTAATAAAGATTTTCAAATATTACATTCTGATTTGATTTTCAAAGACAAGACATAAAACCACTCTTAAAATGCAATTTTATGTCGCTGCTGATTTGTTTTGTAGGTGCATGTTGATCTCCAGTAATGGCCTGGTTGTTCTGCAGGGTCTTGTATTGAAAAGTATTTAATCCTATTCACAATGTAATTTCACAGTATTCACAATGTAAAGTCCTACTTTAGGAAGAAGTGGTGGGGTTTGATCTCAAATTAATTTGCTTACCCCTTTCTTGATATGCTCACCACACTGATTTTCAAGGAAAATATGTGAGGTCTGTCTTTATTACCTCCCTAATCTCCCAAAAAATTCCCAGTATTCAGACCTGTGTGCACGGAAATGTAAGAAACAATCATTAAAGTCATGGAACAGATGTCTGAAAGCTGAATAGAAAATAGACACCCAAGTTAAAGGCTGTATACCAAAGTGAAATACCCTTTTAAGAAATCAGATTTGTTCCCATATAGTCAAAGACACAGATCTCCTATTCTGCCATTACTGTTGGAATAGTTAATATTTGCAAGGAAATTAAAATAATATTTAAGCTCTTTTCTAAGATAGGCTGTGCCATTAGCCACACTGAAATTATAAGCAAAATATATCTATTGACTAGAAAAGGCATAGTTTGAAGGCTGTTGTAAGCTGTATCTATGTCAGAGTTTGTCCATGATGTGTGTATGTATCTCTGCTCTCTGCTAGGATGCCAGACCTGTGAGGTCTGTGTAGTGATGTTGATCTCTATGACAGGTGAGAGGATAACCTCCAGAGGATAAATCTTAACATTCATTTAGCATCAAGTATGTACATGGTAGAAGGTAGATAATTTTCTTCAGGTCTTTACAACGAGACCTTCTGTTCTTTTTGAATTTGCTTGTCTGCTCTGAAAATAGAAGGTTTAAATAAATTGTGAATAAGTTACATGGCATTGCACTGACTCAGAATACTTCAGAGAGAATTAACAATCAATAATATTCAAGCCAACAACTGAGTTTTTGCTTGGGATAAAATAAAAATAGTCAGTTGATTCTAAATATTGATTTCAAGGAAACAACAGACTATCTGAATGGACATTTCTGATTAGATTTGTTAATTATGAAATAAATATAAGCAAAAAAAGATGTAAGAGAATAGCAGTATTTAAAACTTTTTTTTACAATATTAAAACATGAATTAGATATAAGAGCTATGTAATATAAGCTTGTTGTTATATCTCAAAAGAATTTTTAAAAGAAGTGCAGTAGAGCATAATACTAAGAAAGCAAGCTCCTCAACTTTATTTAACCATTTATATTTTCAATAAATAAGTTAAAGAACTCTATATGTCTCTTTATAAAAATCCATAACAAGTCTTTTAGGACCTAGCAAATATAAGAAAGAATGCAAGAGAACTGCAATTTTCTTAATCTTCCTTGAGATGGAGACCAGTCAGGGGATATGAATTCATGGTTGAAGATTTTATGAGAAGATTTGTTCTCTTTTTATTTACTGATCTTAGGCCATCTTTATAAAAAAATATTTTATCTAGACACATGCCTCCATTATTTTTTTAATACCTGTTAAGTGCCCAGAAAATTGACCATCTATTTAGTAAGAAAGTTTTTGCTATTGATTTACAAGAAGCAGAAAATTATTGTATTTGTGAACAAAGAAAGAGTAAGGAAGAAAGAGAGACAGTGTGTATTTGAATGCTTAATTCATTATGAAATTATAATTTAGAGAGTTCAGTTCTTCAATAACAGAAATCGTATTTTAGTCTAAATGGCAGCAAACTGCATACATCTGAAACTGTGGGATAAGAAACTTAGTTCTCATCCACTATTTCAGTAAAAGTCTTCATTTTCAGAGTACTTTCAAATTTGTACAGAGATATTTTGATGCATGTACATGAAAGAGCCTTTATTATCATCAGTAACAGTAAGGTTCTTAATAAAAATTCTGTTAATTCATAGTCAAAATATATTTTGAGGGAAGCCATTGACCAAATCCAAGTCATGTTGTTTTATTGCATTGTACTGTCTGCATGGCAGGCATTCTCACTAAGGAATGCTTTTGTTGATTTTTACAAATGTAAAACTACAGCTTTGTTACTTGTAGATTGTGCCTTTTCACTGATCTTCTTTCTTTAACAAGGTACTTTTTTTTTTTTTCTGGCTATTATTAATTTAGCCGAGTTTAGAGTTTTTCCCTAATTTTAATTACC